CATAATTATTATTTTCGCGAAAAATTTGTTTTGCCAATTTTTTATTTTTTATAATTAACTACAGAAAACATATTTTTTTGGTTGACTAATTATTTTTAGATTAAAAAAAATTTTCTCAGTGTAATTATTAAAATTATAATATTATTTAAAATTTTTATTAATATTTATTTAAATGTCTATTAATCTTAATTAAAATTCATATTAATATTTATTTAAATTTTTATTAATGTCAATTAAAATTTATATTATAGAAAAAAATAAGTTCATGAATTCCTTCTGATTGTTATAATTAATATCATACCCAGCATGAAAATATAATTAGTCTAATTGAATAAGGGCGAAACTTACTTCGCCCCGTGAAAAAGTTTTCGTACACTGATCATAAAAATTTAAGACCAAGGAACATTGAGTGGAAAAGTTTTTCTGCAAAAATTGTCTTAACAAAGAAAGCAAAGTGGAGTTTCTCACATATAAATCTTTCAAAAATTAGACAAGTTTAATTCACTTTAAAATTATACGAATTTCCTCCCTTTATTTAATTATATTCAAATTATATTTCAAATTTTCAATTATTTAATTATTTTCTCATTGTAATTAGTATATAAGTATAAAATTTTCTCTCACTGTATATATAAAATACAATAAATTATTATTAACTCTGCAGGTGTAATTACATAATATTTTGTTACTGCTACAATTTCGTTTACATAATTTTAATACTGCTTTTATATGAAATTCTATTCTATTATTTTCGTTATATAATTGTAAGCAAACATTTGTTACACAATATTATTTACTCGATAGATTTATTTTTTGTAAATATTTCAATATTTGATATTCAATATTTAATATTCACTGTTTAATATTCGATATTTAATATTCACTATTTAATATTCGATATTTAATATTCACTATTTGATATTCGATGTTTAATATTCGAGAATTAATTATTCGACATCCAATATTCAACATTTAATATTCAAAATTCAAATTTTAATTTTTTGTATTGAATGTTTTGTATAAAAAATACAATATACGGAAGTAGGGATTGAGATTTTTCTGGTTTTTTTTCTAAAGAAAAAAAATTACATTTTCCGTCAGTTGTTCTTGAGATAGAGAATATAATTCATTGTCAAGCACAAAGTCTGCGTTATTCATTCAAGTGATCATCCCTCAATGTGAAATGTATTTTGCATATGTCAACAACACACTTGCAATACATGGTAAATGCCAGGTCTGAATAAACATCATCGCGATAAGCCACTATAAAATTTACCCATTTATAAACTTGAAAATAAGTCGAACGAAACGAGATTCCATTTTATAAAAAAAAGTCAAGTTCAGCCCTCCGATAAAATCAAATTCCATTGGCAAAATAAATTCCTCAAAGAAAAAGAGAAAAGAATAATTTGTTTATGAAATAAATTCAAATACTTGAGTTACAATACTTTCATTGCAAAAAAAATATATTTTGTTATTTTCCTATTTATTTGCTTTACTTTTTTTATTTTTATTATCTATATTATAATTTCATTATTATTTTTTTACTTCATTATTACTTTATTACTACTCGCTTTTTTAAATAAAATTAGCAATTTTAAAAATAATATAACGTAAAAATTTTTAATTCAAATTTTTTTTTTATAAAAATAAAATATGAATTGGAATATATAGTTTTAATATTATTGTAATTATAATAATCATATATTCTGACATAGGGAATTTAGGGAAATGTCAGGAATTTTTGTTAAAAGTACTGAAAAATTACTGACAAAAATTTCTTTTTAAATAACTTAAATTTTGAACAACAATCATAAAATAAAAAATTGTTTAATAAATAATTTTACTTAAATATTTCAAAATTAATTTAATTTTAAAAGAGTTGTGTTTACAATTTTCCTGAATAAATGAACTTTAACGGCTTCAATTCGAAACTTTTATAAAATTTCAAAGTTGAATGAATTTAATGAAATTACTCAAAAAATTCAATTATTTAAAAAAAAACTTTAATAAAATTGTACGCAAACATTTAATTATTTTCATAAATAATAAAAATTTCACAGAAATTCAATAATTTACAAATTTTTTTTTATAAATTTCTTCGCAATCATTTAATTATTTTCATAAATAATTAAATTTCTACAGGGATTCAATTATTTTCGAAAATAATGAAATTCTTTCCAGGAATTCAATTTTTTTCATAAATAATAAAACTCATTGCAGAATTTCAATTATTTTCAATGCAATTTTAATCGAATTCCTCGAAAAATATAAGTTATTCTTAAAAATTTTATTTAAATTCGTCAAAATAATTCAATTATTTAAAAATTCGCGTCAAAGTTTCCATTATCTTTAGAAATAATTAAATTCTTCTCCGGAATTCAATTATTTTCAAAAATTTTAATAACATTTTTAGGAAAATTTCAATTATTTTCAAAAATTTTCCTCATTTCAATGATTTTTAATATCTACTATTTTTTAAAAAAATTTTCCAAAAGAATTCAATTATTTAAAAACAATTTTAATAAAATTGTACGCAAACATTTAATTATTTTCTTAAATAATAAAAATTTCACAGGAATTCCATTATTTACAAATTTTTTATAAAATTCTTCGCAATCATTTAATTATTTTCAGAAATAATAAATTTTTTTTACAAGAATTCAATTATTTTCATAAATAATAAAATCCTTCTTAGAAATTTAATTAGTTTCATTAATAATAAAACTCGTCGCAGAATTTCAATTATTTTTAATACAATATTAATCGAATTCCTCGAAAAATGCAATTATTTATAAAAATTTTATTAAAATTCTTCAAAAGAATTCAATTTTTTAAAAATTCTTGGCAAAATTTCAATTATTTTTAGAAATAATTAAATTCTTCTCCGAAATTCAATTATTTACAAATTTTTTTATAAATTTCTCAGCATTCATTTAATTATTTTCGTAAATAATAAAATTTTTACACGGATTTAATTATTTTCGAAAATAATAAAATACTTTTTAGGAAATCAATTATTTTCATAAATAATAAAACTCATTGCAGAATTTTAATTATTTTTAATTTTAATACAATTTTAATTAAATACCTCGAAAAATGTAATTATTCTTAAAAATTTTATTAAAATTTGTCAAAAGAATTCAATTATTTAAAATTTTATTGATAACATTTTTTATGAAAATTCAATTTTAAAAAACGTGCAATTATTCAATAAATTGTCTTTTCTGTATTTAAATAATTTAATTCTAGTAGAATTTTCGAATAAAAATTGAATTATTAATTAGTTATTAATTGAGTTGTCGATATCTTCATATTTTATAGTTATTTTAATAAAATTATTGTCATAACATTTCAATTATTTTCAAAAATTTTCCTCATTTCAATGATTTTCAATATCTACCATTTTAATAAAATTTTCCAAAAGAATTCAATTATCAATTACAAATTTTAATAAAATTGTACGCAAACATTTAATTATTTTCATAAATAATAAAAATTTCACAGGAATCCAAATATTTACAAATTTCTCATAAGTTTCTTTTCAATAATTCAATTATTTTCAGAAATAATGAAACTCATCGCAAAATTTCAATTATTTTTAATACAATTTTAATCAAATTTCTCGAAAAATGTAATTATTCTTAAAAAATTTATTAAAATTCGTTAAAAGAATTCAATTATTTAAAAATTTGTTAATAAAATTCTTGGTAAGAATTTTTAAGAAAAATTTATTTATTCAATAAATAATTTAATTTTGTATTTAAATAATAGAATTCTCGTAGAATTTTCTAATAAAAATTGATTTGAAAATGAATTTTAATTAAATTTTTAGATAATAATTGAATATGAAAATAATTTTGAATAAGTCTCAGTAACAATATTTTTATAATGTAAAATAATCATTTTAGCACTCGGTCATCTTTAATTATTACAAAACATGAAGAAATCGATCACTCCGAGTCGAAGACTCGGAGTAATCGTTTTCTTTATGTTTTATAACAATATTTTTAAAAGTTGATTAATTTCAAAAAAGTTTAAACTTGAATTTTTTTTGAAAATCTTAATTCCTATGGAAAAATAATAATAATTAAATATTTAAAATATTTAGAAAAGAAAGTATTGTTTTCGAATAATTTTACAATTAAAAATATTTGTAAATAAATTAAACAGATTTGTTAAACAATATATTTTTAAGAAAAAAAATACAAAAGCATACACAGAAACTAACTTTAAACTGCGGACAGAATGAATGAAAGAATACGGCTACTATAATATATTTAATTTATTTTTATTATTTTATTATTTCTAAAAAAATTAAAACAAATTTTCTAAAAAATAGAATTTTCCATCTATTTTTACATAAAAATGAAGAACAAAATTTTCCACCCGAGGGAAAAATGTATTTTCGATTACATATTTTTTATAAGAAAAAAAAAGAGAGAAGTTTTCAACTACAAGAATTTTTGAAGAACAAAATCAAACTGACCGTAATGTAGAAATTTTTTTCCCCGAACGTCCATCGACGTCAAGAAGAAAAAAAATACAAATTCAAACTAGACATTCTCTCCGAGTGGATAAGAAGAGAATAGAAATGGGTGTGTCATCTTTTTGGGAGTGTCCGCAAATTTTTTATTAGATCGGATTTTTTTTCACTTAAAAAGTTATATGAAACTTTTTAAGCTGGAAAATTTCTCTCTCCCTACCACCACGCGCGCACATTCCATTCATGACCTTTTCAACCCTTTATATTTCAAAAGGCGTGAATTTCCACACACACACACACAAAATTTTTTTCCTACCTCAATTTATTAGCTTTCTTGTAAGTTTTCGCCTTTTTTTTTGGAATGAGAAGGCGAAGAATTAAATATACGATTACATAATGCCGCTAAATTAAGTTCAGTGTATAAATTATGATGAGGAGTGGAAAAAAGTTTTTGAATAATTAAAATAGGAGAATAATATTTTAGTGATAGGAAATTTTTTTTTTCTTTTTGCAGATTTTTTCTAATTGTGGACGATGATTAACGATGAACGAGTAAAGTGGAAAGAGCATTGAAAAAGAGAGATAAAGATGATGATGCTGTTCGATAATAACAATGCCGATGACTTTGACGATGGCCAGTCGACGAAGCAGCAGTATCGGGCGTCTCAGTATTGCCTCTCATTGCCATCGATCCTCTCGATTACCTTCTCAACTCGACCCCAACCTCGTAAGTGCTCCGCAGACTTTAATCTTGATGGAAACACACTGATGTTTGTCAGAAATGCTTTTTGCGCAATAGAAAACCAAACAATGCTGTTCATGTTTCCTTCTTAATGGAATGTACACATGATTCTCCTCAAGGCATTATAATGATCTCTCACATATATTTATGGTATTCACGAAAACAAAAAAAAAATGGTCCTTTTTTATCCGCGAAGAAAAACAAAATTTATCACAAAGACAATTCTATAGATATTCTTTGAATTTTTGTGTATTCTGTGTTCTTTATTTTATATTCTATATTCTGTCTTTTATATTCTATATCTTATATTCTATATTCAATATTATAAATTCTACAAATTCTATAAATAAAACTAATTTAAATCAAATAAAATAAATTTAATGAAACTCTGAAATTTAAATTCTTTTTAAAAATACCAAAATTTCGATAAAATAGGAATTTTTAATTTTACTTGTAATTAATATTTCAAAATTAGCAGAAAAACTTCAAGTAAATCAAGTAAATTCTGGTCAAATAAAAGAACATTTTACTGAAAACTAAATTAAATTTTTCATAACTATAAAACATAACCGAGTAATAATATTGCTATTAATATCTAAAATTGTAACTTCAATTCATTTTTAAATCAATTTTTATTAGAAAATTCTACTAAAATTCAATTATTAAAATTTTAAATACAAAAAAAAATTTTATTGAATAATTCGCATGTTTTTTAAAATAATAATTTTTAAAAGAGTTTTTTGAGAATTTTCAAATTTATTTGTTTACAATCCAATTTTACAAAATTTCAATTATTCGTAAATTATTCAATTAAATATATATATATTAGAAAACAAAAACTTAAAATAATTTTTAAAAAAAAATCCGCAATAATTAAATTTTCCCAAAAAAAAAAATAATTCCACAGAATTGTTAGTTAAAAAAAAATGAAAAATGTAGATTTTCAAAGACTTTAATTTGAAACCTTTTCAAAATTCAATTATTTATTTTATATCAATAAATTTTTAAACAATTGAATTCTTTTGACGAATTCTTCGACTCAAAGTGATCGATTTTTCCATGTTTTATAATAATTAAAGATGACCGAGTGATAAAATCATACACAATTCAATTATTATTTACGAGAATTTTTAAATAAATATTCAATTTTACGAAATTTCAATTATTCGTAAATTCTTCAATTAAATAATTATTAGAAAATAAAAACTTAAAATAATATTAAAAAAATTCAATTAAACTTTGTCAAAAAAATTAATTTCAAAATTCAATTATTTCTAAAAATTCACGCTGTATTCCTTTGAATATTCAATTATTATCTCAAATTTCAAATAAAATTCATTTTTACATCAATTTTTATTAAAAAATTCTACTACAATTCAATTATTTAAATACAAAAATAAATAATTTATTGAACAAATTGAATGTTTCTTAAAATTCAATTCTGGTAAAGAAGTTTTTATAATATATAATATAATTCTGATAAGGAAATAATTGAATTCCTGTGAAATTTTTATTATTTTATGAAAATCATTAAAGATTTACGTAGAATTTTATTAAATTTTGTTTTAAATAATTGAATTCTTTTGGAAAATTTTATTAAAATAGTAGATATTAAAAATCATTGAATCGAGAAAAATTTTTGAAAATAATTGATATTTTCCCAAAAATTTTATTAAAATTTTTGAAAATAATTGAATTTCGAAGATGAATTTAATTATTTCCAAAGATAATAATTGAAATTTTGACGCGAATTTTTAAATAATTGAATTTTCTTTTGACGAATTTTAATAAAATTTTTAGGAATAATTACATTTTTCGAGAAATTTAATTAAAATTGTATTAAAAGTAATTGAAATTCTGCAAAAAGTTTTATTATTTAATAATAATTTAATAATAATTTTTGAAAAAGTTTTTTAAGAATTTTAAAATTCATCTGTTTACATTACAATTTTACAAAATTTTAGTTATTTGTAAATTCTTCAATTAAATATAATATTATAAAATAAAAACTTTAAAGAATTAAAAAAAAAAAATCCGCAATTAAAGTTTTTAAAAAAAAAAAATAAATTCCACAGACTTGTTAGTTAAAAATAGGCAAAATTTAAATTTTCAAAGATTTTAATCTGAAACTTTTTCAAAATTCAACTATTTCTAAAAGTTTACACTGCAATGCTTTTAAAATTTAATTATAATCTAAAATTTTAACTGAAATCCATTTTTAAATCAATGTTTATGAGAAAATTTTAATAGAATTCAATTATTTAAATACAAAAATAACATGTTTCTTAAAATTTAATTCTCATAAAGAATTTTATCTATAAATTTTTAAATAACTGAATTCTTTTGATGAATTTTAATAAAATTTGCAAGAATAATTACATTTTTCGAGGAATTCGATTAAAATTGTATTACTTATGAAAATAATTGAATTCCTAAAAAGAATTTTATTATTTACGAAAATAATTCAATCCCTGTAAAAATTTTATTATTTTTGAAATTATTTTATAATTTTTTGAAATTTATATATTTTTTATAATTTTTTATTTTATGTTTTTGATTGACGAATGTTAAGTATATAATTTTTGTTATATTATTTTATATATTATTTTATTTATTTTTTATATACTATTTTTATTTTTTATTATTTTTGTTGTATATTATTTTTATATTTTATATTGTTTGTTTTTGTATATTGTTTTATATTTTTTGTATATTATTTTATATTTTTATAGACTCCCTGAAGAGGAAAACATTTAGATTTTGAAACGTTGGAGTAAACTAATTTTTAAAAACTATTTGTCCGAATGTTTTCGTTTTATTCTCCTTTATTATTTTTGAAAATAAACAAATGATTGCGAAGAAATTTATAAAAACTTTGTAGGTATATAATTGAATTCCTGTGAAATTTTTATTATTTTTTGAAAATAATTAAAGGTTTCTGTAGAAATTTATTAATTTTTTTTTTTAAATAATTGAATTCTTTTGGGAAATTTTATGAAAATAGTAAATATTGAAATTGAAAATCATTGAATTGAAAAAAATTTTTAAAATAATTGAATTTCGAAGAAGAATTTAATTATTTCTATAAGGATAATTAAAATTTTGATGAGAAGTTTTAAAAATTCTCAAACATAATAGATTTTTTGCAAAGAATACTTTTTGTATAAAAAAAACATAAATTATTTCACTGAAACTCTCTTCGAGCGTGGTTCAAATAAAATTGTTATAAATATAAATAAAACTAAATTTGTTCGCTACATAACCAAATATTTATCAGGATATATGTACAATGACGAGATAAATTTATTATTCAGGGATTTGATATTCCCCATTTTATTTTGGTGAGAGGGTGTTTGTGTGTATTTTTCTTGCCGAATTATCTTCGGATTTGGCACTAAGTGAAACAAAGGGATATCGAGGTACTTAATGCAATAAACTTCTCTATAAAGTACCACTAAAGTTAAACGATTAAACTTTAATGTGCCGAACGAAAATGTTGCCTGAATGCGCTCAAGAAAAGATGTCTTTTAGCAAAGAAGATTTAACGAGAGTTAAAGAGACTTTATGGGTTGGAAACAAAGAAGAGTTTACTAAAGTCATCAATTTCATTGAAAGGATGTTCAAAACTTTGAGAAATAGTCTATTGCATCCAAAAATTATATAACGCTTTCGAATAATTGCTTTCACTTTTATCTTTACTTTTCTTTTCATTGAAAAAATTATCTTCCCCTTTAAAAAAAAAATTTTATTTAAAATTTTTATTTAAAAAAAAATTTTATTTAAAAATTTTAATAAGTTGAAGAATTTAGAGAAAAATTAATAAAAGAAATTTAAATATAAAAAATGTGAAATATTATGAAGCTAAATATAAAAAAGTTAATTGAAAAATAAAAATAAATTGAACCTTAAAATACAGTTAATTTAAAAAAATCTCCTTTTTACAACATCATAAAATATTTAAAAACCTTAAATTTTTTTTTGTCAAACTATATTTTCGGAACTTTTTTTTCTTTAAAATTTTTCCACTCGAAGTAATAAACATTTTTTTTTTGCGCCAGAAATAAAGTTAATTAAAAAGAAAAAAGAAAAAAATTTGAAATTCGACGCAACTGTTGTGAATTGATTTGTAGACACAGGTGCAACAAGTATATAATTTCGAAGCGTGTACATAAGTGGCAGCGCATAATTTGTGTTCCTTGTTATTTACCAATTCTACAATATGGATTAACGACATTTACTCTATATATTTTAACTTCATTAATGACAATCACTTTTAAATAATAATCAAATAAAATATCTCGGCTATAAAAAATTTTTATTGTCGCCTATTTCCCTTTATTGAGAGACGTAAAAAGAACATTATTATTATTATTATTACTTTTTTTTGTTGAAAAAATACTATGCAGAAAAAATATATCTGTTGACATCAGTTTTCATTTTAGTCAGGCAACTGTTGGTCATAAAAACTTTAGTTTTCCCGATCTTTACGCATCATAATTCTCTCCCTCGTGTGCATAACTTTTAGTACATTTTCCATATATAAAAATTTTATTTTTTATTTATTTTTTAATGTTTATTGTATTTTTTATATTATTTTTTTTTGTCTCAATTTGATATCCTTAGAAAAACTGTGATGTTACTGTATTTTTTGTATTTTATTATTTTTTTTAAATTATGTTATTTTTATGATAATATTTATTTTCATTATATTTATTTATTTTTATTACCTATTTTTTATAATTATTTTTTTATTTTTTACATTCTCTCTAAATATGAATTAGTAAAAATATTTACGAATTTGAATTAGAGTCACTAATTTTTTTTTTAAAGCTTTTTGCTTTTCAATTACTAAATTGGAAATTTATTTTACGGATAAATAGTAATTTCTAATAATTTATTTATTAATAAAATTTACTAATTTAAAAACAAAAAGTTAGTCACTAATTTAAATTAATAAACTTTTTCACTAATTTAAAATTTAGAGA